CCGCCTCTCCCCCACCGTTAAAAATCCCACTCCTAAAGCACGTCGTCCCTCTCCTTCCCCTCGGAACAACCTAGTTGCATCTCCCCACTTCCGTCTAAAACCCTCAATCACTCTTTTCGTATCCCTACTAAAAGAGGTATGAGAAGGATAGAGGGAATACCGAAGGGAAATTCGTTTTAAGGGGAGGGCCGGGAAAGGGACGTCGAGGGTTTTAGGGGTAAGGGGAGGGCAATTGATGGTTTTGTTGGGAGGAGGGGCGGTTGAGGATTTTGAGGGGAGGGTTTCAAGGTGGGGCGGTGTAGTTGGGTGGTTCGAGGAGGAAGGGAGAAGGGCAGGGGAGAATGGGTGTTTAAGGGTAGGGGCAAGGGCGACTGAGTTCCTAAGTGGTGATGGGGTTGGGGTTGGGGAGGAGGCCGGGTGCCGATGGTAATGAGGGTATGTTAATTTAACTATGGTTAGTCCATTTTCAGTTGATCATATTATGGAGTATTTTTTAACCTTCGACTTTTTTTTTATAATAGAGAAGGTTATTTCTAAGGCCTCAGGGCTCCCATAAAGTCATAAAGACCTCATACTCTCCTTATTATCGGATGTTGTAGGTACATAAATCAGAATAAGCCAAAAAGACAACTTACTATAAACAAGTATCAAAACTTAGGCTTTTGAAGGGAGGAATCATGATATATATGTAAACCTGGGCACGGGCCGGGTTGGCCCGCGTGCCGCCCGGCACGGCCCGCCGTTCGGCGCAGCCCGGCACGGCCCGAAGTCAAGCACGGCACGGCACGAAGTTCAACTTCCGTGCCACGGGCCGTGCCACGGACACGGTTGAGAATTCCTAGGCACGGCCCGGCACGAGCACGGGCATGGCCCGCCGTGCTGGCCCGCAGGCACGGCCCGCGGGCCAACGGCTATAAAACGGCTAGTTTTTTGCCAAAAATTCTATAAATACTCACCTCCATTTCATTCCCAAATCACAAAATCACAATCTCTTCTTCTTATCTCTTATATTCTCTAAATCTCTAATAATCCTTATTTTCTTAAATTCTCTAATTATTCTCTTAAATTCTCTAATTATTTTCCTAATATCGGAAAAAATTAAAAAGTTCGTAATCGTAATTAGTGGAGCGTTGAAGCACGGTTGTAAGATCTAAACTAATCTTAAATTTATTATTGTTTTATTGTTATTATTAGAATAATCTTGTTTAATTATTATTGTTGTTAATTGTTATTGTTGTTGTTATAATTGTTGTTATTAATTATTATTATTGTTACAATTGTTGTTATTATTTATTTTTGTTGTTATTGTTATTGTTATAGTTGTTGTTATTAATTAATATTATTGATATTTTTATTGTTAAAATTGTTGTTATTAATTATTATTATTATAGTTAACCACTTTTTATTAAAAAATTAATTGTTAATTATGACATCGAACAACCCATCATCTAGGTCTAGGGGGAAAGGCCGACTTATCCGTAGTAGTAGTTCTAGGGAACCACCAAATACAACGAGCCCCCAAATTACGAGTCAAACCAATGACCCCATTTACTTCCCCCCGGGCTATGAGCCATATAATACGTCGGGATTTCCAGCACCACCACTAAACCAATTTCCACTACCACCATACCAATTTCCACCTAATTATATCGGTAATCAACAAAACTATTGTTCTAGCCAAGGTAGCCAAGAAAGTACCCGAATTCCCTCCGGTTCTACCCCTTCTACTGCCACTCCCACTAGTCCCACTACTAACCATCACACACATCATGAATGGTTAACCGAAACTGAGATGCTACTTTTGAAAAACCGAAGGAGTGAGGTATGGCGTTATTTTGTCCTAAGTAAAGATGGTGAACAATGGGCAAAATGTAAAACATGTAATAGTGTATTCACGGCAGTTACCAAAAACGGGACGGGACACTTATCTAGACACATGAAAGCTTGTGCAAAACCAGCTAGTGATCCAACCCAGCCCAAAATTTCCCAATTCCATCCATACGGCTTTACATACAACTATGAGAGGGATAGGGATGAACTAGGAAAAATGATAGTACACGCCGAACAACCTTTTCTTTTCTCGGAAAGTGACGCATTCAACACCTACATTAACAAAGCACTACAACCCCAACATAAAAGAATCTCTAGGAAAACCGTTCGTTCCGCCGCAATGAAAAATTTCCTAGAGTACAAAGTCCGGTTACAAGCCGAATTGAGTAACCTTAACTGTAGAGTATCTTTAACAGCCGATTCTTGGGATAGTGGTTATAAATATCACTATTTATGTGTGACTTGCCATTGGGTAGATGATCAATGGATGTTACAAAAAAGAATAATACATTTCAAAATGCTGGAATACCCACACACCGGCATTAACATTGCTCACCATTTAATGCAAGCAATAGACGAATACAACCTTCGAGATAAAATGATGTCTATGACTTTTGATAATGCAACCTCTATGACATACACAGCTAATCTTATCAAACAAAACTTAACCGATGTACTATTAGACGGTGAAGCTCTTCATACTAGATGTGTTTGCCATGTACTTAACTTATGTGTACAGGATGGAGTTCGGGCAATTGGCCCATACTACAGCAAAATCAGAGATGCTATTATGTCTATTAATAGCTCTAACATGAGATACCAAGAATGGAAGAGTTTTATAAAACAACAAAAGATAAGGGTAATAAAAATTAGAACCGATTGCCCAACTAGGTGGAATTCCACCTATGACATGTTAACAAAGGCAATTGAGTACAAGGGCCCGTTAACATTATTTTACAACCAAAAATTTCCACAAAATGCTTTGTATGATGATGATTGGAAAAACTGTGAAAGATATATGCAATTTTTACAGTTATTATATAACATGACGTATTGTTTTTCTACTGTTTACAATCCTTGTGCTCAAAACTTTCTTTCTAATGCATGCTTACTCGCCCAACTTTTCGCTGATCATCGCGATCAAAGTGATTATGATCAGTATCTTCCAGCAATGGAAAAAAAGTGGCGTAAATATTATAGTGAGATTCCTTTGATTTATATTTTTGCTTCCATATTAGATCCTAGGCAAAAGTATGAAAACACATTTATGTTAGTTGACATTTACTTTCAATGCATGTTTCTTGACGATGATGTAGAAAACTATAAGACTAATGTGAAGGATCAGTTTTTTGCTTTATATAGAGTCTATGAAGCCAAATATGGCACCGTTCCTCGCTCAGGGCCTTCCCAACCATCCAAAAACGTAAGTAAGAAGGCCAAACATTTATTTTCACAAGCTACTAACTTGATTTCAAGGTTTTCAGGTGATTCATCAATCAGGAGAACGCAAAGCGACGTCTCGGAGTTGCAGATGTACCTGAGTTACGACTTCACCAAAGGCATGGACGACGATGAGATAAACAGCCTCGACCTCCTTGCATGGTGGAAACAACAAAGCTCGAAGCATCCAACTTTGGCGGCAATGGCACGAGACATTCTTGCTATCCAAGTTTCCTCCGTCGCCTCCGAACGAGCTTTCAGCGCATCCGGAAGGGTTTTAGACGATAGAAGAACAAGTCTAAAACCCGAAACACTAGAAATGTGCGTGTGTTTCAAAGATTGGTTGGATGCGGAAAATCGCTCACAAGACCGTTCTTACGACCACAACGACAACGAAGAAGGAACCTCCGCTTCCGGTTCGGGTTCGGCTAGTTCCCAATCTATGCAACTAGTCGATGACCTTGAAGGCGAAGGCGAAGACGAAGACGAAGACGAAGATGAAGACGAGCAAGAAGAAGGAGAAGAAGAATAGACAATTATTGTATATTGTACGATTTTAAAAATATCAATTTTATCATTTTCCAATTTTTGTTTAATACCATCATTGTATGATTTTTATCATTGTTATCATTGTACAATTTTCTCAACTCAAGTAATAATAATATAAAGTACGCATTATTCACATCCAAAGTCCAATTTGCCTTTTTTCCCCGTTTTGTTACAATTTGTAAATTCATATAAAAAAAAAATAAAATTATACCAATTACTAATAAATCATAAACATTAAATTTTAAAGTAATAGTATAAAGTAAATATATAAATATAAATATTGAATATACAAATTATAAAACATAAATATTCAACTTATAATTATAAAATTCATAACTTAATAACTTATAACTTATAAGTTATAAACTTATAAGTTACCTTATAAAACTTATAATTATAATTTTATAACTTATATACATTATAAACTTATTAATTTATAATGTTGTCATTAAAAAAAAAAAAAAAAAATGAAAATTGCACCAGCCCGCAGGCCGGCACGAGCCCGCCAGGCACGAGGGCCGTGCCGTGCCGTGGGCTGGCCTGTGAAAATGGCCGGCACGGCACGGCACGAAATCCTGGGCCCGCCGGCACGACCGGCACGGCACGAACCAGCCCGTGGCCCGCCAGGCACGGCCCGCGGCGGCCCGGCACGGCACGGTGCCCAGGATTATATATATGAGAGTTGTAACCCCCAAATTATAAATAAAAATATTGTTTTCGTACATTTTCTTGTCTTTTTATTTGTTCATTGAATCTTCTCGATATATACATAAGAAAAACAAAATACTCACATAAAAATTTGTTTGATTCATCTGAATTTATAGTTTCACAATATCAACTTCAATTCATTAGGTCAATGAGCCCCTTCTTCACGGTTAGGCTGAGTTGTCAAAATTTCACCCGACTTGATTTGAAAGTAATCCGATTCAGATTTCGACTTGTATAACACGATGATTTAGCATGATTCAATGTTGAACTAGACTCGATTCGATATGACCCTACCCAACTTGACACTACCGATTCCAACCAAATCATCCGAATTGACACCTCTGTATTGCATTAAGCTTCTTAAATTTGTTACTTGTATGTATTTTATTTCAATGAAAGGCTTCATTCTTGCCAGCTCTTAAAGCTTCCCAATTACACCAAACAAAACGACATCGTTTAATTTCCCATATTCATACTCATCCAATCATACATCCAACCTATCACCATTAACACCGTCATCAATTCATCACCTTTCTCACCATCTCCAATTTCCATACCTTCCAATCTCAGTCTCTCCTCTCCAATGGAGATCGACCCACTTCCCAACGGCAACACCGGAACAACCTCCATCGGATCATCCACCGACACCACCCTCTCTTCCACCGTATCAACTCCGGCAACCTCGGAAACTCCGGCATCCAAGTTGAGTCACTTGTCGGATTCACTCAAACTAGAACATCAATTTCTACGAGTACCCTTTGAACACTACAAGAAGACCATTCGTGCTAATCATCGTGCCGTTGAGAAAGAAGTTTCCGCCGTCATTTCCGCCGTTGATTCTTCCTCTTCTGATTTGTCTCGGGACGACGCCGTTTCTCATCTTTCTTCTCTTGTTTCTCGTCTTCAAGGTCTCAAGAGAAAGGTATCACACTACTTAGTACTTTCTTTTTTACAAATTGGGTGATAATGGTTGATTGGTTATTTATTGGGGTTTGTGTTTCGTAATTACTTTTCGGGTTTGGCGAGAGTCTCGAAGGGCAGTGATGTAGACGGGTTTAGATAAATTAAGCTAATTGGCCACTCCAGTTGGAGAATTTTGATAATTCTTAGTGTTCGTGAATTAGGAGGGTTTTATTTTGGGTTTTGTACTTTTGTTATTGTGAGATTCTAGAAGAGAAGTGATGTAGACAAAATTCGACAAATTTCCAGTGCCTGAGACTTTAAATGCTTACCAACTAAGCTAATTGGCATACACATTGTAAAGATTATGTTGATTGCAAGTGTTTTACACACACTTTCACTAATATAACCCTACAAGTATGTGAATTTTAAAATAAAGTACAATGAGCAATCAAATATGCGAAATGGGAGGGTTTTTTTTTTTTTTTTTATTTTTTTTTTTTTATTTTTTTTTATGTAGTATGATGGTGTTATTTATAGAAAAAGAACAGATGTTGGGTTCTAGAAATGGTTTCTTGTGGTATAGGTTTGGTGAATTTTGATCGACTCTTTCAATAATTTTGGTAGTGAAAATCTGTTTATAGTAGAATTGCTTTCTTGGCTGACAAAATGGAATTTGGGACACATGGGTGAAGCTTTTTTGACTGCAGCTTATCATACTAAAGCTGATTTTCACACCAAGGCTTTGCTTTTGTTTGCTGTTTGGTTCACCGAAGTGGACCGTAATTTGGTCTAAATATCTATTCCTTAGCAATTCATTGGTGTACTCTTGTAGACAGCAATATTCTTTATTTGCAGCACTTGCATGTTGAATTGATATTGCAGAACTGAGTTTTTTCTAATATGAAGCTTTTATTAGTTTGATGCTTATAGCTTTATGTTTATGTCTTTAACGGTAATTATGGAAATAGATTCATTTTCATTACCTCGTGCTACTATATCATAAATAGAATTCAGTTGGTCAAGCTCCTCAACTTGATTGCCTTTTTTTTTTCCTGAGCATGCTAATCTCTTACCTCATACCAATTACTCATTGGAGACGTGGGTAAGGGGATGCTAAATATATGAATAAAATACAGAAAAAGGAAACAAAGGAACCATTTTTTGTTTTCTTTGTTGAAACTCCCCGACCAAACAGCCTCTTTGTGAATTTAGTTTACTACAGAAACTCATAATCTCAACCTCAGGAATTCATGTGCAATGGGATAAAGCCTAGATACTTCATATGTTCATAAGTGCATGTGCATTTCCCTCAAGCACTGTAATTTTTTTTTCTTCCCCATATTTTGACTCTTCATTTTATCTACAGCTAAGTAATCCATACATCAGGAATGTAATTAATTTAATAATATAGACAACAATTGTAAGATTAATGCTTCTAGAGAATTGAGTTTCCTTTTTAGTCCATCACAAAAAGCTAAGCCAGTGAATTTCTCATTTCCTTCGTGTATTAAAATGTTTTTTGTTATCGTAAATAACAATCTTGTTGCAGGACTTGTTTTGAGTTAAACGGGACTCAACTAGAGTATCATATTAGGATTTGGTGTCTTATGGAGATCAACTGCATATCCTTTTGCATTGTTAAAAGGGGCGTCCTTATGTCTCACAGATTTCTCTCATGTGATTGGGCTTGCTTGGTTTAAATTTTTAGTATCCTGGCTTTCGTATTAATGGCCTTTAACTAAAGGGTAGAACCATGTTGAGTAGAATTTCCCATGGCGAGATATATTGTGTGTCAACAAATATCACTTTTTCATGTGCTATCCATGGCTGTTTTCAACTTGTTTTTAATTCATTACTCCCTTCATCCCTAAATAAAAGTCCTATTTTCCCAATGCGCACATATTAGGGAGAGGTGAATATTAGGGTTTGGTTGATTAAAGGTGCATATAAATATAATAAATAAATAATTAAAAAGGTAGTGAGGTTTTGTTCTAAGGTGAATACAAAAGAAATAGTGGGGTTTGTTTGACTAAAGGTGAATACGAAGTATAATAGAAGATAGTGGAGAAATGAGACTTTTAATGGGGAGAAAATTTTAGTGATATGAAAATTTTATTTAGGGATGGAGTATTTTTTACTGATTCAGTATTTGTAATCATGAAGATATATTCTAGTTCTGCATTTATAGTCTTTGTACTACTATATGCCCCTTCTTAAAGGGGAAAAGCCTTGCTCTAGTGGTACCTGCTCTGTAATATGTTTTCTTTGTCAGTTTGGCTGTATGTCTGTATCCATGGGTTTTGCATAATTTTTGTTGCTTAACCATGGGTATCAACTTTTCTTGTCAGAAATTTAGGTTATTGGTTAATGTGTACAAAGAGGAAATAAGGAACCAAAAAATGATTTTCAAATGTTAGAAGAATTGGTGGTTATACTATATCTGATGCTTTGGAAGTAAAGCTCATAGCTTATTTCATGTTGCATAATTTTTTTTTTCTTTGGATGTTATGGTGCTTATTGTTAATCATGTTTGGTAAATTAGCTAGAGGAAGAAAGCCGAGTAGAGAACTTGCAAGCACAACGATGTCGAACTCGACTAGACCATTTGGAATCTGCAGATGCAGATAATTTAACTGAATGGAGCAACACACGTTTGAAACGGATTCTTGTGGACTATATGCTTCGTATGTCGTATTATGAGAGTGCTGCAAAGTTGGCTGAAACTAGCAATATACAGGTATCTTGCTTTCTTTAGTTTTAAGTGTTCTAGAAATTCATTGCTGCAACCTTTTATATTTTATCAATTTGCTTATTTGATATTTTTGGGGTACCACCTCATTTTTATTTACTGTTAAGACATTGATTAGTCACCATCAGATATGTATCAGGTCTCCCTCCAAAATCTCCCTGGGTTCACAGTAAGTTACATACGAAGGATGATATTATCTCTATAGAACAGATTAAAAGTCGCCTAAGTTCATGTCTAAAGACTCTGAACCTTGTTCAGTGAACAAAACTTTGCTAGAATCGATGACAAACATCATGCCATCCTTTCTAATTGATACTTTGGAGAGATATCCGCTAAAGCTGTTTTATATTGGGAGAGGCATATCCCTTTCATCTATAATTTACCTCATTTAAGAACCAAGGGATTTTCTGCTATTAGCAGCTCTTCAACACTGCATATCTGATTGCTATTTAAAGTGAGATATTGTTTCTTATTGCATATAACTGCTGCACAATCTAGAGGATGCTTGTAAGTTATAATGATGAGGAACACATCATTATAACCTACAGAACATCCTCTAGGTTTTACAGCAGTTATATAATCGAGGGGAACGCACAGAAAATGGTTGTTCCCATCCTCCATTCTTCAATAACAAGTAAATATCAACTAACAAAAAGCCCTTATAAAAAGAGAAATTTTTTGGTTAATGATGATCAGGTGAACTCACACATGTCCCTTCATTGTGAGATGGCTAGCAATATTTAGGGGAGGTTTTTTGCTGTGCATAGAGATACTGTTCTGGATCAGTTACAGATCTGTTTTGTGGACTTTGGAAGAGCGAAGGAGAAGAACATGTTTTCGCAAAATGCTTTTTTAATTTTTTTTATTATTATTGTGGCGTTTGTGGCTAAAATGAAATATGTAACTGCTTTTAGTGCTGGTTCGTTGTGTGATAGTATAACTTTTTCAGCTTTGTTGTGGGCTAAGGTGGCGGGGGATTTTACAAGTTGCTTAGTGGGGGATATTCAATGGAACTGGGCTAATATTTAATCTAAATTTTGGCTGTAAGGAAGACAACTTATGATATCTATCCTTTTTCCTCTGGTTTTGTTCTTACATCTATTTGCTCATTATAATATATTTTTCATGAGTTTATTGTTGTACAGTATTTATCTTATTTTCACAATGTGGCTCTTCCATTTTTACTATTCATATGTTTAATTTGAGAGTATATCCTCTTTGACTGCTAAAGGAGCTGGACAAGTTCATATATATTGAGTTGTAATTGCTTGAAAAGGATTTTTTTTTTATTTTCTTGCAAGAACTAAAGCTAATTATAATTTGAGAAGTTAATGACAGATCTAGAATTGGCTTTTCTTGAATTTCTTACTGATAGTCTTTCTTAAAAAATGATAAGAATTTACTTGTGTTTCGTGTAGTACACATAAAATTTGAATATTCAGGGAACTGGTGTTTTAAGACTTTGATATGAGCAAAATAACCCCCCATCCCCCCCCCCCTCTCCCTCCAAAACAAATAATAAAAGAAATAATCTTTTCATGTCAGAGAAGACACCCCAGAAACTTTTGTGCTCTATTGAGTTTAGAAGAAAATTACTGCAGTTTTCACTAATGTAGTTGAAATGACCTTTTTATGTCAGGATCTTGTTGATATTGATGTATTTCATGAAGCTAGACGGGTTATTGAAGCTCTTCAAAACAAAGAGGTAGCTCCTGCATTAGCCTGGTGTGCTGACAACAAGTCTAGGCTGAAGAAGTCAAAGGTAAGTACAAAGTACAGACTGTATCATGATTTGATGCCTGCGAATTTGAATTAGTATATAAGGAATAACTATTGTCTTAATTTGCTACTTCATAGTTTATTATGACTCACCTGTTAAGTTGCTATTAGCTAAGGCCAAAGGTTGAACTTGCCTGAGATCAGGTTGTAGGAAAAGCTGATATAGGCCCCCAGTAATACAGTTGCTATACTCTGTTCATGTATGTCTACTGTTACTAAGAATTAAATTGTAACTGCTCTCTAAGACTGTAAGTAGCTAAGTACCATGTCTACCGGAACTTGGAATTTAACCATGGAAATTTTCCATGAATTAGTATGTGTTTTTCAGCATTTCTCAGTTAACAGAGTCTTTGTTTTGTTTTGTTTTTTTTTTTTTTTTTTTTTTTTCTCCGAGAAAGGGGGTGGGGGTGGAGCATGAGGAAGTATGGGCTGATAATGTTAAGTATGCTTGTACTGCTAAGAATAAGTCAGCTGGCTCTGCTTGAAGGCCCCAACTAGTAAATATTTTCTTATACCGCTTTGCCAAATTCTGGTGCTCGTTTAAGAAAGTTTCACCCAAGACTCATTCAGCAGAACCATATACCAAACAAAGAACCTGCAAAAATTACTGAACTCCTAGTGAGTTTGGGAAGCTAGGCTAATCAGTACGGCATAAGAAAATCAGACCAAAACTTGTGAATCCTTCTCCTAGTGATAATAGGAAACACTCCGATAAACTAACAGAATATTAATCTTACTTTCATAAATTTACTTAAGAAAGTATTACTGAAATTAAGGGCATTTTTCGGATACATGAAACCTCACTGTTATGTAATTAGCAAACCATGCAATTAGTCTGAGAAAGCATGTAGAGATAGATCAAGGAATGCTATCACATCAGTTAGGGTCTATGGTGAAGCTTGTTACAGCTCTTGATCTCTGTCAGATATTTTAGTCTGCTAGTTTAGGAGTCGCTTAGTTCAATGTGTTGTTTTGTTGGGATATCCTACTAAAAAATTTAATCCATTAGTGGAATCCGAGGAGGCATTATCATATGAGGGGTCAGGAAGAGATGGGGGACAAGTGGAAGGGAGGGTCACATCAAGATTTAGATAAATGCAAGATTTCATCGTCAAAAGTGTTGATATTGGGAAGGCAATGAGTGCAATAAGTATAAATAATAATCCATTACTGCTATATTGAATTTTACTTGTGCAATCTTACAATAATATCACTTACACTATGTCAAAATTCAAAACCATGTGTAGTTGGTGTACACAATTGTAGAAGTTGCTAGAAGCATTACCTTGGATTTTCATCCAGCCATAGGTGTTGCATTTGTGTTCTAAGTCTTGAAAATTTATATGGTTGATCATAGTTTGACTCTCATAATAGGGAATAGATATTTGAAATAGTGGCATTCAGAAGTTCAATCTATTTTAGAGTGTTTTTCTAGTTGACCTTTTACGCACATAAAGGAAAATGGGAAAGTCCAGTAAGATTTAGCTTTTGCAGAATAGATTATCAAATACATAGAAGGAGCAAATAATAATTATGAAAATTAAAGCATTCCTAAATAGAAATGAGACCGAACCCTTCGAGTGGAGTGTTTCTTTTTTTTTTTGGTTGAAAAAATAAATAAATTTAGTTGTTAGTATCAAACAAATTGTCAATACGCAGTTATCTCATCTATGGTTTTTGAGAAAATGAACATTGTATTCATGATCTAGTATTCTCTAAAATAATTTCTGAACGGGTTTTTATTTTTGTTTTTAGCTTATGATATGCGTCACTTTAGTGATATGCTTTAACACTCCTGCACACAAAGATAAAAGATAATGTAGCTTAATACTACCCTCTTTCTTGGTTACAGAGCAAATTTGAGTTTCAGCTAAGACTTCAAGAGTTCATAGAATTGGTTAGAGCTGATAACAATATGCGTGCAATTAGATACGCCCAAAAATATCTAGCACCATGGGGAGCAACACATATGAAAGAGTTGCAGAGAGTTCTCGCGACACTTGCTTTTAAGAGCAGTACAGAGTGTGCTACCTACAAGGTCAGTTTCTTGACCAGCTTCTTTGCTTGTTTCTCTATTTTGGTATCATTATCAGTATTATATTACTCTGTATGTGCAACTGCTTCATTTGCTCTCGTCACTTTGTTGTTTTGGAGTAATCACATTTTATGTTAGATGACCTCAGATACTCACACACGCATCAAGTTTCAAAACTGCCACTGTTGTAGTGTGCAGAGCTGTAATAAATCTGTATGAGATGCTCACAAGCATATCTTTGTTTTCTGTTGTTTTTCTTCTGTTCTTATTTCTTCATCCAGTTTTAGATACTATACATTGTTTTAGTACAGGTGTTTCAGCAACACTGTTTGATGTTCCCAACCCTTTCCCTAGTCTAACATTCCCATTGGAAATTTTTTTTCTTGTGGATTGTAAAACTTGCATGTATGTTCTTGTTTATACATCCTGCCATCTATATGCTATTTGAGTATTGTTTGGACATGCATATAAGTCTGGGACGAAGGTACGAAAAGAAATGGGTCTAGCTGATTGTAAAGGAGATTGTGTAGTAGACTGGAAATTTTTTCTAATCTTCAGCTAAGAAAGAAGAAACTAAAAAATAAGAATAACTGATAATTTAGTCATATTAATTGACACTATTAAATAATTAATTTTGGCAATGCTACTCCAAGCCTTAAAGTGGCAGGAAACTCTTATACGTGAAAAGAGAAGAGACTTTTCTGGATGATTCTCTCTTTCAACCCACTCTTATTTTTAAGCTCTTGCTCCATTGTACTGTAGATAATTCCCTCTCATTCAGTAAATGACTCCACCTTCTCATCGAAGACAAGTTTGACAAAAATGCTAACAGAATTAAGTGAATTTCCCTTGCTGTCTTGCCTCTACGAAGAGCATATGTGAAGTAGATCCTGAGGCATTGGGTTATTGGGTGAACGTGGGACAGATTGTTTGCATGTTTGTTTGTGATTTTCTTAAGCCAGTGAAGTTCAATTGTCTCTTTTGATAAATTGATTTCTTTTCCTTGCATAAAAACTTCTTGCAGTCTTTTGTGGGGTTTGAGGTCTTGTGGTCAAATTGCCTCATTATAGAGGGAGACTGCCCTCACTATATAGGCAAGCTTTAGCTTGACAGCCAGGCCTTACTATAACCAAGCTCGCATACCCCATTCAATCTTTTATAACAATGTATTGACTCTCTCAACCAGGTTATCATAAGAAGCTAATTCTTTGGGTGTCGTTGTGACCACTTAATCTTGGTTGATTTTTTCTAAAAAGAAAGAAAAAAAATGGCTGGTGTTCTGGACAGAATAATTCTACTTCACTCATACTTGATGTTTGCCTCCTTTTCCTCTTGGCAGGTCCTTTTTGAACCCAAGCAATGGGACCACCTGGTGGACCTTTTCAAGCAGGAATTCTACAGATTGTATGGCATGACCCTTGAACCATTGTTAAATATCTATTTGCAGGCTGGCTTATCTGCTTTGAAAACTCCGTATCCTTTTTGTTGGTTTTTATTTAAGTTTAATTTTTAAATCTGCTTTAAATACTCGGTATCATTTTTGTTGGTTTTGTGTTAAATTTAAATTTAAATATGAGCTAACATAGAGACGATGTAATAACAAGGTTTTTTTTTTGGAACTAAGGCTTTGTTGTTGTGCTTGACTGCTTGTGCAAGTACGCAATTTTCCTTGTTTTTTATCACCATTATAGAATTGCTCCTACATTATGCTTTCCTTTAAACATGTAATATTAGTCACCTTTTAACATAAATATAGATTTTAGGTGCTTACGAAATATATTTCAGGACAATAGTAAATCAACTCTTCTCCTTAGATTATTGTCTCTGCTACTGTTTAGAATGTCTGAGACCTCTGTGATTCAAAATTTTTGAACCTAACCTTCATGTCCTCTAGAGAGTCCTTGAACTGTAAAAGCAGCAAGCTAAATAGAAAGGAAGTAAATCCAAAGCATGTCGGTGATAACTACGACTTAACTTTTTAGACACATGCTTCACATCTATATATTGTTCATGCTGCTTTTCATTGAAGCTATGAACACTAGCCCAAATGCAGTCTATGGAGCTATCTTCAAGACTAGAATATGGATTTCACTTGCATGCTAAATTGCAGAGAACTGCATCTTGATTCCCTTTAGGTCCAGTGAAATATGTTGTGCCTTGACCTCTTTTAGATTTTGCTATGAAGATGACTGTCCGAAAGATGATCCATTGTCTCAGGAAAGTTTCCGTAAATTGGCAGTATCACTTCCATTCTCGAAGCAGCAACACTCAAAAATTGTCTGCTACATAACAAAAGAATTGATGGATACTGAAAATCCACCTATGGTCTTACCAAATGGCTATGTCTACAGCACTAAGGTTTGTGTATAGTCCATTAGTGGAATGATTATTCTTTAAGCTAGCTTTCTTCTTTAAAATTTCTTTTTCCTTTTTGTAACCATAGTTCATTTTATTGATTGTGCTTTGGCAGGCTCTCGAGGATATGGCTCGTAGGAATAATGGTAAAATTACTTGCCCAAGGACAGGTGTGGTCTGCAACTATTCTGATCTTGCTAAGGCATTCATCTCATAGAATCATACCTTGAACAACTATGTAAAAAGACTGTCAACAAGAATAGATTTTTCTTTTTCTTTTTTTTTTTTTTTTTTGGCTGTCACCCGTTGGAGGATTGGCAGCTAACCACATGTACATATCAAAAGGGCAATTTGAACAATTTGTTATTTTCTTTGCTGATGCTGCTATTCTTGTTTATCAGTATGTGAATGTTTATATAAGCAGTAGATTACTGCGTGGCTATAAAATTGAGTTTTCAGCTGCCTCAAAGATTATCAAGCAGTTGAGTCGTGATGATAGCAGTTGTGGACGTCTGTATATTTTTAATGGCTTCTCCACTGCATTTCCCATTTAGAAGGATGATGATGGTTTTTGAGATAGCTTTTACTCTGATCAGGTTTGCTATGACCACTTCAACAGTACATGTTTGATCAAAAGATAATGAAACCTTCTATTTTTACTGTATACTCCGTACAAGAGATCGTAAAGTATTTTACTGCACATTACTTCCCTAATCAAAGCATAAGAGAGCACCCCTTATCCTGAAGTTACGGGACCATTTGTGATATCCAGAAGCCCTGCTTTTTTGTAGCGAAGCCTATGAGATGATCGCACACTAATACACTAATTATATAGTGAAGACCAGGTTAACTTTTAAAGCTTCATAGTGAATCTAGTGAGTCCAACTCAAAATCTGGAGGAGCATATTTTAATCCTCTGCCCATAATATACTTTGTATGAACGAAGTTGGTAGTCCAGTTTGCAAAATGCATTGTTTCATGTTTCCCTGTTAAGTCTCCTTGGTTCATGTGTTGATCAGGCTTTAACAAAACTCCAACACTATGTTCAACAAGAGCTTGAGTAGAAATATTGTCAATTTCACTAACTGGGTTCAATATGAGGATTTTGCTCAACCAATTTATTAAAGCATGACTCTTTGAAATTATTCCAACTAGAGCATACCCATGCCAATGCTCGGGATATATTTTACGCGAAAGAATTCAAGACAGAGTGAAATGTTAGTAGTTATTGAAGTCCCTTGAAAAAAATCTTTTACTTTTATATAATTTAAGAGTTAGTTAATGAGGTTTCTACAAAAACTCAATACTCGATTCTCATGCACTCTCATTTTTTTTTTTTTTTTTTTTTTTTGCACTATCCTCCAAATAACTTCCACCACTTTTTTATTTTTTTTAAAAAAAGAACAAAAATAATCCTCCAAAATAACTTCCACTTCTGCAATTTTTTTATTTTTACTAATAACACACGTACATATTATCCATTTCACTTAATATTACAAAAAAAAAAAAAAAAAAATCACCTATTTTATTATATTTCATCCAATAAATTTCTTTTTAGAAACCCCAATATTACAAGGAATCAATACTATTAATGCACTTTTTTTCTTATAACTTTTCCGTACAACACTTGAAAATGAATCTTTAGATTATGTGTACTTCATTTAAAAAAAATTATTAATAATAATAATATAACCACCATAAGGTCCACTATTTTCCTTTACAAAATCACAATTGTTTTTCTTTTATATTTTTAAAAATCACTCAATAACCACCTTTTCATTACTTCAATAATTATCAATACAAAAATAGTACGTTTTCTATATGGCTGGCCAATCTGTGTGGCTGATTGACACACACAAACACTAACCAGGTAACCCCTGTTGGAGTAACCTCTGATCGAGTAACCCTTACCTGGCCGAGTAACCCTTAATCGATCGAGTATCCACTGACCGATTAACCCTTAACTGACCGAGTAACACCTGACTAACCGAGTAACCTCTGACTAACCGAGTAACCCCTGACCGACCGAGTAACCCTTGACAGATCGAGTAACCCCAAACCGATTGAGTAATCCCTAAACAAATAACCCTATAATAGCTGGTCACATGGTGTTGTAAGAGTTAGTTGTCATATCAAAATCAACTTCCCGTATTTGAAATATAATATTTGTTATTAGTTTTTTGTAATATCATTCAATAAAATATGTATCTCGTGCATTTTGCACGAGTACACTCTAGTACAAAAAAATTAAAAGATATTAGTGGGATGGATAGTTTTTGGTTTAATTTTTTTTATAAAAAAAAAAAAAAGAAAGAAAGAAAAGAAATGCATAGAATTTGAGTATTGAAGAGTTGAAAGATTGTGGTTAAATGTCGTAAAAATGACTCTTAAATATATATTCGTATAAGATTATGCCATAGATTTAACAGCAATAGACTACTTAGGTCCTGTTCACTTCACCTTAAAATAATAATATTAAGTAAAATTAATTTCAGTTTAGTAAAAAAAGTCCAATTAGTAAAAATAAATTCAGTATTTATAAAGAAGAAATATAATAGAAAATCGGTAAAAATAATTTCAATTTAGCAAAAATAATTTCATTTCAGTAAAAATAATTTAAGTTTAGCAAAAATAATTTTATTTCAATAAAAATAAATTCAGTTCAGCAAAAATAAAGTAACGTGAACGGGGCCTTACGAAGTTTCGAGTTTGTTTTGCGTCATAATAGCCAGTCCTTTAACTAAAAAACTAACCGTCATTATTATACCACCTCCAAGATAATAATATTTCCGAAAGAAAAAAGTAGTTGCGCCAGGAGGCAAAAAGTTGCCAAATCAATATGATTTTTGGCAAAACGAAGTTCAGATTGGATGTAAATTTTGAAAAATGATGTTGATACATTCAAGTAGATCCATAATAAAAAGAAACGTGCAATACTTTACAGTTGTCAATGATCAAATTGGATGGTTATCAAACAAAAATAGTATACTACCTCCATTTGAAATTATTTACAACAATTTGACATACAATATGAGTAGAAATATTTAATCGTCGCAAATAATTAAAAATAAAGGCAATAGATATTATACTATACGAAGATAATAGAGTTTTGCAGACGATTAAACATTACAGTTACAGACATACAATACGGAGGTAGTAGAAAAATGTTTAACAGTATTTCTCATCGAATTTTCCAACCGATGATTTCAAACACAAATTTGTACAGCCAAGTAGTACAAGCTTCATTTTGCCAGCAAACACCAAATACAAACTTAAAACCTTAACAGTTAACACTTAAGTACTAAACATCTGCCATTTAGTCATTTACCATCAATATGAAACTAATGAAAGGTGTTAAACAGGTCATTCATTATTCAGCAAAAAAATCCAACAAAAACCACCAGATGCATAAACAATTGAATGAGAACAGAAAATTCTATGTAATAACAACAAACAGAGTTTAAAATTTCAAGGCAAATGCGACATCCTTCCAGTTAACAGCTTTAGTTGTGAACACAAGGTATTAAAAAGAAAAGAAAAAAAACTAGTATCTCCGATCATTCACTGCCCCTAGGAGAAGCTTCATAGTCGTCATTGTCATCTTCCCTACCATTCTTGTCATTTCTAGCAACAGGACTGACACTATGATCTTGGCCATTTTCTTCAAAGGGGCTACGACTCCGAGCATCTCCATTTCTGGGGCTCTCTCTTTCACCTTTGACAGGACTTCTACTCCTCGACCTTGGGCTACCAGCATAATCAGATCCATTGGCACGTCTCTCATCCCTATCAGAGGATCTACCTCTGCCTTCAGGACTCCTATCATCGGGTGTTGGAGAGCGTTTCCTGCCCCTTGATGACAGAGGAGAGCTTTTCTGTCGTTTAGGGCTTCTGCTTCTTATAGGGCTCCTGCTTTTGACAGGGCTCTTGCTTGGACGAGGGCTCCTTGACCGGCCAGCACGCTCGATATCTCTCTCTCTTCTTGGTGGAGATCTAGACTGACTGCAGGGATGAAAAAAAATAAAATAATACTTAGTTAAACCAGTGCATTCGAACACTACCCTAAATCTAATGGCATGCAATTTAAGAGCCCCACCCAAACCAAACCAGCAAAGCCAAAACAGATTCAAGCAACAGAAAAATAAATGCAAGTAGACAGGTTACAAGCCAGAAACACAGTCGCCAATGGGATAAGCCATAACAAATGGTGACAACTATGTTTTCAGCAGTAGAATTGCTATCTATATTAGTTCTAACCCAAGTGAAATACAATACTTGCCAATGTTTCCTTGTAATAATAAGTAACCTACTAGCTACTCATATCTACCCTTTCTCCATTGTGCATCAAAACCCAGCTATAAGATCAAAAGGAACAAAGCTGGAAGTACTATAGCTATAAGAACAAAAGGAACAAAGCTGGAAGTACACAATACCAAAGTAATCACACTAAGAAGACACCCAATATAGCAATCCAAAGATGGCCTTACCGGCATTTCCAACCAGATGAAACTCATCTTGCACACAAGTTTATTGTAATAGCATAGAAATTGCTTCAATGAATAACACACCTGTAGCTACGGCTCCTACTAAAACTACGGCTACGGCTTCTGTCTCGGCGAGGAGATGGTGAACGCCGGCGTGGCGATCCTGAGGGCGAGTAGCTTCGACCGCGTCTGCTAGAAGAAATCAAACATAATTTACTCAGTAACAAGCAAAGTAAGCCACCCAAAGTTTATTGCTTTCAAGAAAAGAAGCTTATAATTTAAGTTTACTCTTTCAAAGATGTGACTATCATTGTTAGTCTACAAATTCTACTTTTTTGGTATTGCAAGCAATGGTGGAGCTAGGGGAGAGGTGAGGGATGGGGCTTAATGCAAAATAATTTCCAAAAACAAGTTCTTGATAGATGTATTTCAGATCACTCATATTGTGATTAGGGTGAGAAGCTTTCAATCTCTTAACCCTTACCACAATTAGACTTAATATGTAAAGATAAACTGATGGTTAAGATTATAATAAACATAAAAACAGTAGGCCGTTGCAGAAAAAGAGACAGAAATAACAATAATATAAATTATTCAAGGGGGCAAAGTAAATATAAAGACCTTAGTTTCTTGGGGCTGTTTTGACAATTCCTTTCTATATGGCCCCGCTCTCCACAGCGGTAACATTTGTTCTTCCAGTCACCTGCTTTGCAATCTCGAGCCCAGTGGCCTTCAATTCCACAATTAAAACATCTTCCTGATCCAGGAGCTGGTCCTCTGCTACCAAAGTCACGTGACTCCCGCGAACCACCTGGACCCCGTGGTCCCTACATGATAAATTAGAAAAAAAGTTCAACAAATCAATAACTTGTAGAATTGTAGCTAGATTAGGCACAGCACATTAGCACGTTGTAGAACGGAACATTCTAAAAATGCACTCCACTATGAATATCTACAATGAGACAAGCATCCAATAATTGACCAGTTACAGCTGCTTAGCTTATTTAAA